CTGTCAGTTGTGGCAAGTAGACTCTGGACAGCCCTCATTCCCCTCAGTTAACAGGTTTTTGTAACTTTCATTTTCATGTCCTAGTAAGCCACTGTAACCCACTATCCCATCTCTTCTTTCATATCCCTCCCCCATGCAAGCCAGATCTCCCTTGAGCACTATCAGACAAGCAGTCCTTTGGTTTAAGAAAAAAAAACAACACTGCTCCTAAATTATGTTCCAAAGCAGACAAAGAATGCAGAACTCCACATTTATTAGATGACACATAGCCTGCTTACTAGTCAGACTGCCAAAAATAACTTGCTTCTCCTCTTGGAGGTTTAGGCAAACACAAGGGAACTGTGCTCCTATGTATGACTACTGCTTCTCCACAGAACTTGAAGAACTAATAACGCATTAGAGATACTTCCTCTCTATAAACCCAAATAGAACACTTTGTTTATTTTCTCTTGGCATATAGTTGACAGTCTGTATTTCCAGGCAGCCACTGTACATCTTTTGACAAGTGCCTTCAAATTTCTCAGTACAATGTTTCATCTAGTCACTGAAGGTGAAGCATTGTACCTTAAATTTACATACCAAGAAAAAGACTGAAAAGAAGACCTTCAGTATCATCTTCCTGCAATATATCAGACACTACACGAGTTAGAAGATCCAGATCCAATTCCCAGTTGTGCAAGTGTCTTGTAGTGTGATCTCTAGTCTGCTCTTTAATCTTTCTGCACCTTTTTCCATCCTGGAAAACAGGGATTGTATTACCTGTCCTTCTTTGAATCTAGACTCCCACTGCTAGCTGAGAATATGTATGCTTCTACAATTTGTGAAACTGGAGTCTGGAAAACTCAGAAAATTAAGCACAAAGGTTGTTTTTCCACTTTTGTCAGACCTACCATGTAAAGTCCACAGTTGAGCCCAGAAGTCCCGAAGCAAGTAATACCTCAGAGAGTTAGTTCTGACTCCTATTCAACAAACCAGTGAAGCAAGAATGAGAGGCCAGAGGCAAGGCAGGACCTCAGGTGTTACCTGGCTATAAAAGCAGGTCATTATCTACATTCTGTAACAATATTATCACCCTAGACACACGAACCTTAACACCCTGTGGTTTTATCTCAAAGAAGCTACCTCAATACTTAGAGCACTTACTTCTTCAATGTTTACAAAAACAAGTACTTTCCTTGGATGGGAACTGCCCTGCTGGGATTGCCTTGGGATGACCGAACAATTAAGGTAGGACAAAAGGATGATACAAGAAGTATGAGGTACGAGACAATTTAAGATTTAAGACAGTGTTTTACAATCCTTTCTGAGTTACTGGTATACTTCTGAGATTATTAAAATTCAAATGCTGGCTTAGAAAGGTCAATCTGTAAACTTGCAAAAACTTTCTAATTATCGCACTTCCCACTTGGTCACCCTTTAGCCTGTGTGGCTGTTATAACAGGTAAGTTTACTGCTCGTCCTAGGTGCTCTACAAGGCCTTTGTTTCTTCTCTGTTCCAGTAAACATTCTCTGCCTTTGGTACGATCAAATTATTCACATTAAATAATATCTCAGCTGCAGTTAAGTTTTAGCCCCCTAAGCAATGCATCATGTGGCCACCACTTAGTTCAACACTCAACCTGAGATATCACTAGGAATTCACACTACAAGTCACAATATGAATCCTAAAATACATTTTATATCTTGACCAAAATGTAACATACTCCTGTGAAGGATGAGTGTCTTACAAGTTAAGAAGTACTCTCTAATGACTGACTCCCACAGCTCCCGCCTCATCTAAAAGGGATGACAATTTTGTGTATAGATAAGGAACTGAGCATGGAAAGTAGAGACCTATGTCCAATTCCAGGTCTGCTACTTACTGTAAGACCTGTGTGTCATTACCTGTGAAGTGATAATTGTATCTACCTTACAAGGTTATTGTGAGGATAAAAAAAGCATATACAGAAGCATTTTATAAAAAGTGCTATACAAATTTAAGTTATGATTCTGCTTGTGGATTTAACTGAAACTGTTCTTTCAAGAAGCTGGTTAATAAAAAATAAAATGAAAAAAGAAAAGAAGCTGGTTACCTCCAACATTAAGAATATCACTCACTGGGACTTTCCTGGTGGCACAGTGGATAAGAATCTGCCGCCAATGCAGGGGACATGGGTTCAATCCCTGGCCCAGGAAGATTCCATATGCCCCAGGGCAACTAAGGCCGAGAACTGCAGCTACCAAGTCCTCTAGCCTGTGTGCTCTGGGGACTGTGAGCCACAACTACTGAAACTGCATGCTGCAACTACTGAAGCCTACGTGCCTAGAGCCACGGCCATGAGAAGCCAGTGCACCCTAACAAAGAGTAGCCCCTTCTCCCCGTGCCTAGAGAAAAGGCTTTGGGAGGCAATGAAGACCTAGTACAACTAAAAATAAATTAACTTTTAAAAGAGTATCACTTGTTTACAAGTTTGACAGAAATTTTCTGAGTCAACTTCAAGTCATTGAAAAGCTTCATCTCATTCCATTGGTTAAAAAGCAAGCAGAGTGGAGAAGGAAATGGCAACCCACTCCAGTATTCTTGCCTGGAAAAATCCATGGACAGAGGAGTCTGGCGGGCTGAAGTCCATGGGATTACATGACTGAGCATGTGTGCACGAGGGTGGAGGGAGATGGGTTGGTAGCAATAAACTGGTAGAACTAAAAAAAAAAAAAAAGCAAGCAGAGTAGCACTACCCCATCAGGGGCACTGTAAGCAATGGTAGAAACAAAGAACTGTGTATACCCACAGTGAGGGGGCAGAGATACTTTATTTCATTAATTGAACCAAAAAGTAAAAATCAAAGGTCAAAGTTTTTCAATAGGTATGAGAGGAAATGTTATGAATATCCCAGGTTTAATCAAAATTAAAAACAACCTTACCTGGTGGCTCAGACCATAAAGAATCTGCCTGCAGTACAGAAGACCTGGGTTCAATCCTGAGTCAGGAAGATCCTCCAGAGAAGGGGATGGCTACCCACTCCAGCATTCTTGCCTGGAGAATTCCTGGACAGAGGAGCCTGGCGGGCTACAGTTCATGGTGTCACAAAGAATCATGACTGAGCGACCAACTCTTTCATAGCCAGTTCAGAAAACTCAGTTATCTTCAAAGTGTTTTTCATGCCATAATTAATCCTCATGGCATCCCAAGGATGAAAGAAATTTAATTCTCATATTCTAGTTACTTACAACCACAGGAAGAATCTAAATGGATCAAGATGTGTGATTTTGATGAGACAGGCCAACAAATATTTCATCAAATGTTAAAGATCTACCATATCATCAGCACTGTACAAGACACAAAGTGTCTAACTGTCTAACTATTCTACCTTGAGCAAGACCTCTAGCAAGCTCAACCTTGTGGTACACAGATATGAGTAAAGAAACATTTCTGAATAATGGATAACACTATTACAGAGCAATTACCAACGTTTATTGCCAGGACCTGCCAATTTACTTAAAAACAGACGTAAAATTAAGATGTTCTATTGAGAACAGCTTCCTGATAAGTGTGGTATATGAGGAAGAGGGGGAACAGGGGGCAACAGTGTGATGTTTTAAATAAGATGGTAAAAAACAACAAGAACAACAAAATAAGTCAGATGGTCAGAGAAGGCTTCAATAAGGTGACATCTAAGTAAACACCTAAACAAAGAGAGTAAAAGATGCACATTTAGGGAGGGGAAAAGGTTCACCAGGCAGAGAAAACCTCTGAGTGTAAGATTCCTAACATGGATCATACCTGCTGCATTCTCCACACACCTGCTAGACTTTCCCCATGGATGCAAGATCTAAAATTTGTAGTCTCTCTCTTCTCCACCTCCCACTCCTGTACCTTGCAAATCATCATGAAAATCTCAGTTCAAACATGTATTAATTTCCTTTGTTTCATATTTAGCTGGACTAAACTCCGGGAGAACAAGGACTGCAGTTTTGTCTCCCCAAAAGGGCCTTGCAGAAAACAGCACCTACCATATTTTTAGCACTTACTACCTGCCTCATATTATATTAAGTGTTTTACATATTTAATCTGTTTAACCATCACAATAATATTGTATTACTAATTTTATTCTTCCTATTTTACAAAAGAAACAAAGACATGGAGAGGTCAAGCTGAAGTTGCATATCTTAGAAAACGCAAGGCTGGGATTAGAGCTAAAGTCTGTCTCTCAGAGGCAACACAAATTAGAGGCTACCAACAAATATTTGTTGAATTACCCCAATCATCTGATATGTGCTGATGGTCGTGTCACCCCAAATGAACTAATGAGGGTGGAGACCATGCCCCAGAGGTTTATGGGATACAATGGGGAGAAGGACTGCCCCTCCTTGCTGAGGTTCAGCAGCAGGCATTTCACACCAAGCATCTCATTTACTCTGTAAAAGCTCTTAACTCGTAATTCCTCCATCAGAGATTTGCCCCAAATGTCACCCACCCTGAATCGAAGCACAAATCACGACCTTATTTAGGTCACGTGGCCGATGGCAGATTAGGGAGGAGAATCCAGGTCTCAAGACTATCCACGGTGATCCATTCCCTCAGCAGACAATCACAGATGGTAAATGATTTATCCTGGTTTCGCTGGATATTCTAAACTGCAAAAGCTCTGGAATAATTTTCAATCAAGAAGTATGTATTGGACGCCTATATGTCAACCTTGTAGGTTCAAACACCATCGCCTCCACATACTCGCTTTGTGACACGGCGGTGGTCGTTTCGCCTCCCGAGGTGAACTCCCTCATCCGTAAAAGGAAAATAATAAACCCACACCAGACAGTAAGTCGTCAGCAGTAAATGAGATGTTAGCACGATGTCTGGCGTATGGTGGGCGCCTACTAATTATGGGTGCCCTTCCTCTGCCCCCTCCGTCCCACAAGCTTCGGAGTTCACCCACTTCCACCAAGCAACAGGGTATCTACTCGGCCAAAGGCCCGCACGCGGCCTCCGGTTCCCCAGGCCGGGGACAGCCGCACTGTCATACCTGCATAGAGTCAGCGCTGACGATCTCGCCACCGAGCCGCTGGCCGAGCTGTAACGCCAGGGTGGATTTGCCGGTGCCCGTGGCCCCGAGAATCACTACGAGAGGTAGTGTCCGCTGCATGCCCCGGAGACCAGGGCCCACAGACACAACTCTTGCAGCCGCCGCTGCCGCCATTTTGGAGACGTCTGCGCTTGCGCCGGATCAGCTGTCCCCATGGCAACCGTCAGTGCGCCTGCGCGGACCTGGACGCTAGAGGGAAAGGGCGGAGGGAAGGAGGAGACAGGAGACATAGGTCCCCAAGCTCAGAAGCTCCTGCGGTGACTGCCATCAGCTAGCTAGTGTGAAAACCTCAACTACCTCCTCTCTTAAATGGGAACATATCAATCGTATCTAAAATAGATTTATACCTATTATTCTTTTTTTAACTAGCTCCCACTTCTTTTTGTCCATAGCCCTAATTATAGTATGAAATTATGTTTTGACCTCTACTGTCTGACTTTCTCTCCAGACTGTTAATTCTGTAAAGGCAAGGAACAGATTCTGCCTGGGACATTACTGTATCTCCAGTACAGTGGGTGCCTGTGTGCGTGCTAAGTCGATTCAGAGGTGTCCGACTCTGCAACCCTAAGAACTGCAGCCTGCCGGGCTCCTCTCTCCATGGGATTCTCTAGGCAAGAATGCTGGCGTGGGTTGTCATGCCATCCTCCAAGGGATCTTCCCTACCCAGGGATCCAGTATAGTACCTGATACCGAAAAGACACCCAATAATGATATGTTAACAGAGAGAATGGCTTGCCCACCTAGTGCTACAAGCCAGTGAGCTCAGAGGTGTGACCTTCTCTAGGATCAGATCTTCCCAGTTCTCAGGAAAAGAGGGCTGCTGTTATGTTTTCATCCAACAACTCAGACTCAGACACAATCAGAAGGCAAAACAAAATTTTTCATCTCTTTGGTGAAAGGATGCAAGAGATGGGGTGAGAACAGAGAGAAAACCAAGCAAGTAAACAACCTACAACATACAAAGGGAAAATAAGGAAGGCAGAAAGGATATAGTAACAACCCTCACATTACAGTAGGGATGGGGAAAAATCAAGTCCAGAGAGAACCAAAATTCTGGCGCCTCCACAACCTTTAAGAAAGGGCTTTGGGGGGATTCCCTGGTGGTTCAGGCGTTAAGATTCCACACTTCCACTGCAGGAGGCAGGGGTTGGATCCCTGGTCCAGGAATCTGGATCCTGGGCACCTGGTCAGATGAACATGGATTTGAATTCCAGCTCTGCCACTTATCAGCTGAGTGACTTCACACAATTAGCTTAGTGTTCGTTTTCTCATCATTAAATACCTCTCAGGATTGCCATAAGGAGAAAATGAAGTCATGTCTGAAAAGTGCCTGCTACAATGCCCTGGCATATAATAACCACCATTTGTTGAACACTTTGTGTTATTATAGTAGTAACACCCCATCTGCCTCACTAAAGAGGTAAGAGCAGCAGCCTAAGGGTAGAGAAATTTCCAGTAATGTGTGAAAGTGCCTAAATACCTATTCTACTCACCCCTTGTTAGCAAGTTCAAGAGTTCTAATTGCTTTCTCCCTGAGATTTCTACTTGGCTCTGCCTAGCTCTCAGGTCGTGTCACCCTTGGGCCAGAGGACTCACCCTCGGATGGTTACAGCGTATGATAGACTTGTCTAGAATGACTGCCAATAAATACATTACTCAATCACTTGGATCACTACTGGCATAATGACTATTCTTGCAAACCCAGCCTCAGACTTGTAGTCACATGTCGCAGGGTCCCCTGTACCTCCTTTTCTCAATCCAGCCTGCTTTGATCAAAAGCCTTGTTCTCTCCAATTTGTGGTACCCGCCTGGGGCTTGTTTTAAAATCGAGATGTGTGGCCACATATTGGCAGACACTCTCACATGATGGTTGTTAACTGTAGAGTCTTTGCCTGGAGATTTTCCGAGGGTACAGTTACCTTGACAACCACCAGAAAGAAGGAAGGCCAGAGAAATGATGCAAATAAAGCAAAAGGGAGGCTAATATCATGATGACAATCTGATCATGACAGGGGAGGCCCACTTACAGATGGGAAAGCACTGTCTGAGTCATGACCAGGTGACTGTTGTGAGAGAAAGAGAGAGAGAGGGAGGAAGAAGGAGGGAGTGGAATTTACTACTGAGAGACCAGAAGAGGGAGAGGCTGGTTACCGAGGCAACAGGGGAGCAAGGAACGAAAAAATGGGGCTTCACCACAGCAGTAGAAAATTGCTTCTAACCAAGCAACACAGGACTGTTGCTATAGAAACAAAGAGAACAGGGATCCTATAGACCATGGGGAGAATTATCACTGAAATACTGAGCAGGAATTTCATTCTGACTCCTAAATCAGAATGGAGCCTGTAGTCCTAAACAAATGAGGAGAAAGGAGAAGTGAGGGAAAAAAAATCATACTATTTCCATTCATTGTAATTAATTCTGCCAGCCTCACCAAAGGAGAATGAGAACATATTTTTAAATTTCTCTCGGCTACTTTTTGGACTTAGGTCTCCCTAATGATCTTCTGAACTCTAAACTATACTAAGAATAGTTACTTAAAGATAACATGTAACTTGAAAACCTAATTGGAGAGATCAAGTAAAAATTGGGAAATTGAAGTCTCTGACCAAGAGTTAATAAGTATTTCTAAGAAACAATGTGCTCAGACATGTCCAACCATTTGCGACCCCCATGAACTGTGGTCTCCCAGGCTCCTCTGTCCATGGAATACTGGAGTGGGGTGCCATTTCCTACTTCAGGTGATCTTCCAGACCCAGGGATCGAACCTGTGTCTCTTGCGTCCCCTGCATTGGCAGGCAGATTCTAGCACCACCAACACCCTCTAATGGGAGCACTGCAGGGAAATAGAGAAACAAAAGGCAGCAAAAGAGAGTCAGAAAAGCTATTTGTAGTCATGCCCAGGTATTAGCCCTGACCCCTCTCTGCTTTGTATGAGGCCAGAGGGGAAGCAGCTCAACCTATTCAGAAAGACAGCTCAAGAGGAAAGGCAGTCTCTCACTTAAAATATATGTGTATATCTAGAGGTAGAGGATTCAGAAGCCCATCTTCAATATATTCCACTGCTTACAGACTATTTGGAGTAAAAAAAAAAAAAATTTAGTTTAAAAGGCAAAAATGCAGGCTTTCCTGGTGGCTCAGTGGTAGAGAATTCACTTGCCAATGCAGGAGACACAGGTTCAATCTCTGATACGGGAAGATCATACATGCCACGGAGCATCTAAGCCTGTGCACCACGACTATTGAGCCTGTGCCCTAGAGCCCACATGCCACAACTGAAGGCTGTGCACCTGGAGTCAGCGTTCTGCAACATAAGTCAGAGTGAGAAGCCCCAGAACGGCAACTAGAGAGTAGCCCCTGCTCCCCATTATTAGAGAGAAGCCCGCATAGCAACAAAGACTCGGTACAGCCAAAAATAAATAAAATTATTTCTTAAAATGCTGAGACTGGTTCAGTCTAGAAGAGCATGTCTAAAGTGCAGGAATGAGATACTACGAAGACGAATTACCTGGAGGATAATACTTCCTGCCTGCCCTTCTGAAAGTCCACAGTCTGCCACCTAACTGTCACCACCTGTGTATGTGTATGCTCTATCCTAGGCCAGATATAACCTGGGCAACATCTATGTTGCCTCACCTTACCTTTAGGAAACTGAGAGCAGTACGTGGGGTGGGATGCGCATGGAAACATGGCTGAAAAGGAGAAGTGCAAAAAGGTAAAGGGAAGATCTGGACAATGACCCAATTAAAAAAAATTTTTTTTTACAGAAAGAAAGGTAGGGAGAAGCCGTTAGAATGGAATGATCATTCAAAATGGAGCATCCAGAAAGTTTGAACTTTTTGGAATTCCAGTGGATGCTGCGACATTTACGACAGGAGGAGTAATGTGTCATGAAAAGCCTGAAGCGTCTGTTTCTAAAATAAGAGAAGAAAGTTGGTTCAAAGACAAAGACTAGATTTTTGGTACAATCCAAAGTGCCAGAAATTCCCTGGTGGTTCAGTGTTTGGGACACCATGCCTCCACTGTCAGGACCCTGGGTTCAATCAGGGAACTAAGATCCTATAAGCCACATGGTGCAGCCATAATATTTTATTTTAAATCACAAATTAGGGGACTTCCCTGGTGGGCCAGTGGCTAGGACACTCCACTCCCAATGCAGAGGGCCCAGCTTCATTCCCTAGTCAGGGAACTAAATCCCACACGCCACAACTGAGACCCAGCACAGCCAAATAAATATTAAGAGAAAAAATCACAAATTAGGTATTTCCCCAGTGGTCCAGTGGTTAAGAAACTGCCTTCCAATGCAGGGGACGTGGGTTCAATCCCAGGTCAGGGAACTAAGATCCCTCATGCTGCAGGGTAACTAAACTCATGTGCCACAACTACTGAGTTCGTGTACCACAATCCAACACAGACAAAAAAATATTTAAAAAAAACCACAAATTAAAAGATACAGTGCTTTGCAGCCTAACCCCTATCCTAAATTTGAAAAAATGTTTCCTGCAGGAATATTTCATGATGAACTTGGTGCCTATATTTGTTTCCTTAGGCTAGCATAAAAAATTACTGCAAACTGGATGGCTTAAACCAACAGAAATATATTCTCTCCCAGTTCTGGAGTCCAGGAACCCAAAATCAAGATACTGGTAGGGTCACACTCCGTGCTTCCCTCTAGTGAAGCATCCTTCCCTACCTCTTCTAGCTTCTGGTGGTTGTTGGAAATTCTTTATATTCCTTGGTTTTCAGCAGTGTGACTCTAATCCTGCCTGTCTCAGTGGCCATCTTCTCTGTTGTGGGTGTGTCTCTGTCCCCACTTCCCTCTCTTTAGGATCCCAGTCATTGGATTAGGGCCCGTCCTGATCCAATATGACCTCACCTTAATTTGATTATATTTGTAAAGACTCTGTTTCCAAATAAGGTCACATTCACAGCTCTGGATAGACATGAGTTTAGTTGGGGGACAAAATACAACCCAGTATAGTGCCTGTGAGCAGTTATAACACCCTCCATTGGTTTGGTGGTTGTCTGTTTCCATTACTGTTTCCTTTGGTGATTGGCCAGCTCAAATCTGGGAGCATCAGAGTGCTCAAAACAAGTGAGGGGAAGAGAGTGGAGCT